TTTGAGTCAAGTTGAGATCCATTTGTTCTTTACATTTGACTTGAAATCAAAGTCAACAGAACTCTGCAACACGTAGAACCATCATCTATTTGCTTGTCAACTTTTCATTTAAAGTATAATAAGAAATAAAGTGGTAGTGGGACTGAAAGCATGCCAGAATAATGCTCACTCCTGTATTTACATCTCTCTAGACCTTTGGTTCACCCAAGTGTCATGCTCCTAATTACAAAGCAGTGGCTGCTAATGAAGACCGAGCCAACTGCTCCTCATGGAGCTCCCAGCTCCAGCATTTGGCTGCGGTTTTGGAACGCCAGTGATGCTCTGGTCCCCAAATGAAGATACGGAGGGCTAAAAGAGACAGCAGGCACAAACCACAAAAATCAATGAGGATGATTTCTGGGAAGAAAAGTCTATTAGTGCACAAAGCTGCTGTGAGGTGCTCGAGGGTTGCCATAGAGATTCACTGGATTCATTCTGCCGACAGTAAGTAGAGAACACAAAATACTCTTACCCTTAATACGCTGAGCGTCTGATCCAAAGCCCATTGAAGGTGCTCAGCAGCTTTCGTGTTGGCTTCAATGAGTTGTGGAGGATGTCTTGAGAGCAGCACCTGATAGCTCATTTCTTATCGCATTGAGCCCTTTTATGTCCTCTGAAAGGTTCATACCGAAGGCTTTGAGGAGCTAGGTCTCAGTTGATTGAGCTTTTAAGATATGCTTAATTTTAAGCATAATCAACCCAATGACTTCAAATCCTGTAAGGTATTAGAAGAAAAAGTCTTTCTATCACCACAAAGGCAGAAAAATCCCCCCTGGCTCTAAACCCGAATACCAGAGTGAAGTCTGATGTAGAGCTGGATCATATTTGCAGTCCACAAGCTGCATTCTGGTTGGGTCATGTTCACCAACCATCATATGTTTGAGCAGGACAATGAGCTCAGCTTGTTTTCTTAATAGAGAAATGCAATGCCATACCAGTTTGCTATCAGAAAGATATGTAAATCTAGGGGAAGATTCTGTCAGACTAATAAAAAGCCTATCTTTGACATTTCTTTATCTTTTCCCAAACTCTGGAAACATTTAAGCAGGCAGCTCATCAATGACATATTGCCTAAATGCTTCGCTGTTAGAAGTAATTTTTCACGATGAATCTTTAAAGTGCCAGAATATCTGATAAGTTAAATTTTGATTTTCTTTCTATAACAAATGCTTAATAGTTGTCTCAGAGACTTTCTGCACTATGATTTTTATCTGTATTTTATTACAGTCATAATAACATCTAATATACTCTCTCATATCTGTCTTGTTCTTTCTTAAGGTCAAAATTATATCCAGAGCTAAAAGCAGCAAGAGACTTCTTCCTTTCATCCTCACAGTATTTTAAGGCAATAAATTCGCATGTACAGGCAAATAATAGCAAATTAGGGAATCTAAATGTGATATATATATATGCTTTAATATATGCTTGGTAATCAGAACACCAAGTATTGGTATGTCATTACAACAACTAATTTTCAGTCTTTCAAGTAAATGAGATGCTCTTACATTAGGCGGTTTAATTGCCTTTCTTGCCAATAAAAAGAGAAATGTTAATTCCTCCGCCTGTCTGCAGGCAGATTTCCTTTGTTCATATTTTACTGGATTGGTTCCTTACTTTTTCACCTAGTGATAACCTTAGCTGCCTCCTCCAAAGGCACAGATCCTTCGTTGGGAGCAGAGCAGCAGAAGGCAACATGCAGTAACTTGCAGAAGCCTTTGCAAGGTGGGGATGGGGATGCAGCACAAGCTCCTGCAGGGCAGTAGCAGCCCAAACAACCCCAGGGCTCAGGACAGGCTGGCTGCCAAACATAGTAACTGCTGTGCTTGGAGATGGCTCTCACAGCACAAAGACAAGGACTCATTAGTGGAAACTTATGTCCAAAGCTTCCAAAAGTAGATAGAAGTTAGAGCAAAGTAGGGTAAAAGAAAAATCCCTATGGATTCAGGGATTCTGCGTGTCCTTTAAATGCATTTTAATGTGTTTTAACAAAGGATGCATGAACAAAAAAAGAAGAAAAGACATAATATTATTAGCACAAGGTTGAATAAATTATAGCAGCTGGACTTTGAAAGTGGAGGTGTATAGGACACCTCTCACTCAGACTCATCAGGAAATAAGCATCTCACCTGCTTCATAGAACCATACAAACCTGGAATGGTTTGTGTTGAAATGGACCTTAAAACTCACCCAGCTCCAACCCCCTGCCATGGGCAGGGACACCTTCCACTAGAGCAGTTTGCTTCAAGCCCCTGTGTCCAACCTGGCCTTGAACACTGCCAGGGATGGGGCAGCCACAGCTTCCCTGCTCAATAGTACCTGGAGAAATGGGCAGAGACCACCCTTCTTTGTCCCAACACCTCCAAAACACCTTCCAGATCTACTACTCATGACACTGCTTATGTGAGAGGGCTTAATGAAGATAACGTCTTATTTTTCAGATGGGGAAACCAAGTAGAAATGAAGTGACTTATGTAAGGTCACAAACTGAATTACTATCAAAGGCCAAGAATCAAGGCATTCCCAGCTGCCCAACTTGCTCCTCAATCCCTTGACAAAGCATTACTGTTCCTACCCTCTAAATTTGTTTATCCTTTCTTTTAGGTTAGCCAAGAAAAATAGTAAGGAAACTCAACCCAATATCTTATCACCGAGCAATGAATCCCTGTTCTCCAGCAAGGACCATAACTCACTGCAGCACGTTATGTGTGCTGGAGGCTAGCATGCCTACAGCCGCTCCATCGTCCTCTTGGCACTGAAAAAAGACAGAGGATATCACATTTCCAGTTCCTGTCAGCACTGAAGTTAATGTGCTGAGCAATGGCACCCTCCAATCCTTGTTTTCTGACAGAGATCACTAAGGTTACTCTCTGATCTTTCCAGAATAAAGCCACCTTTAAAGTTCACAACAGAGCTCAGCGTTACACGTCAAAGGCAATGTAACTAGTGTGGGTTTTCAGTGAGTGGTGATGGCAAGATCAGACCACGGGTGACAGAACCTCTTCTGTAAGTCAGCTGGATAACCCACATTTCCCAGGCTTGCTTGGTGCGATTTGGGTGAGTGCAAGACTTATGGCTCTTGGTGGTCTCCTCATACCTTCCTTGTGATATATGCAGATCCCTCAAGGTGGAGTGGCTTGTCAGGGAATGACTAAATCATAAATAATGGGCTTTTGTTCTGTAGCCAAGAAGCTATTTTTCTTGCAGTCCACACTTGAAACAAGGGGATACCGACTCTCCATCCCTCCTGAATATACCCTGCTCAAAGGCAATTACCAAAGCACTAAACAACTTACTCATAGCCTGCACAATAAATGAAGAGGCTGATTTTCAAAGCTACACATATAGCTCTGTTGGCTTACAGACAGCCTTGTTTATCACAGGTTACCAAGGCAGAAATGTATTTGATTATGGAGAAAAAAAGTTCACTAAAATGGATGTGAAAGCCCAAGACAAAGATAAATCTGGACTTGGGTTGCTTTTCTTTCCTGAAAAATAAGTTGGAGGGCGATAGGAGCTGCAAGGAGCAGGACAGAGCCGCTCCAGGTAGCTGCATTGCGACAGAACACCTCCACCTCACTGAGTACAGACAGATGCAGAAGACACATATTGTGCCTGTGTAAGGGCATGATTAAATCTGTGTACCTTTCTTTACCTTTGCTGAAAAGGAAGAAGAGCCAGTGGTGGGACCCTGCACACAGGGTTTGGTTTGATACCTCTCAGTGGTGCTTACCCGCATGCTCAGCAGTCACAGAATGGTTTGTATCAGGAGGACCCTTAAGCTCATCCAGTTCCAACCCCTGCCACGGGCAGGGACACCTTCCACTGGAGCAGCTTGCTCCAAGCCCCTGTGTCCAACCTGGCCTTGAACACTGCCAGGGATGGGGCAGCCACAGCTTCTCTGGGCACCCTGTGCCAGCGCCTCAGCACCCTCACAGGGAAGAGCTTCTGCCTAAGAGCTCAGCTCAGTCTCCCCTCGGGCAGGTTAAAGCCATTCCCCTTGGCCTGGCCCTACAGGCCCTTGTCCCAAGCCCTGCTCCAGGTTTCCTGCAGCCCCTTCAGGCACTGGAGCTGCTCTCAGGTCTCCCCTTCAGGAGCCTTCTCTTCTCCAGGCTGACCCAGCCCAGCTCTCTCAGCCTGGCTCCAGCCCTCGCAGCACCTCTGTGGCCCTTCTTTAGACACACAAGTCATGCTCAGCCCTTCAGCTTTCCATGGCCGAGGGCATTAAAAATCCTCCTTCTTGGTCAGCTCTGGACACAGCTTTAGAGTGTTTGAGTTGAAAAAATTGCATTTGCAGGACGTGAGCCATGTCTGAAATCACAGCGGCCAAGAATGAAACAGGGCTAATGCCCTGCTGCAGTGAAACTCCTGCACCCTGGCCTGGGCTTCCCCCGTCCAGACATTACACAGGACAGAGTGCATAAGAATAAGAATTATCTAACATTTTCCTTATGCATTTTTAAAGGTCTCTAGGTGTCACTTGACTTCAAGAGCTAAGCAACCTAGACACCAGCGGTACCCAGAAGGAGTCTAAGTGTTTAAGCAGCTTTTAAATAGATGATGCTTTAAACATTTCAGCACGGACAAATGCAGACAGCAGTGTGTTTGATCTCCTGGAACCAGCCAGGAATTAGGCAGCTGCAGTCCCAAAACCCACCGTGGCACTAGCACTGCTCCGAGCTCGAGCCACATTTCTCCATGGGCTCAGGGGTGCGAAGCAGAGGAATGGGCTTTGTGGAGGTGATCATACCAATCAACCACATTCTAGGTTTAATACTGGGTTTGATATTTAACAGGGAAATATTAGAAAGCATCCATGTAGTGATTTATTGTTGTCTTAGCTTGGAATCCAGAATGCATCGCATGGACACGCAACATTTTCAAGCCAATGTCACAGCTCGTTACACTGCTTTTGGAAGAGACAGCCACAAGGTAAAACTCACACAGACCAAATGACCTTCTCCCCCCCACCCCAGAAATTAATAAAACCTCTTTTTGTCAATTACTGCAGCACAACTGGAGCAGATGAACAGAAACCACGTTTGGCACATTTCATCAGGTGTGTGTTTGCTATGTAAGTCAATTAATTGAGGCAAAGAGAGCAGCACTGATACCCGGCCTTAGAGTGATTTATCAGGGAATGAAATGACACATCTTAAGGGATTATTTCCTGCTAAAGTCATTTTAAATAACTCTATGAAAGAGAAACTACCAGTTACAAGTAGGGCCTGATTCTCTCTTTCACCAGTGGCCCTTGGTACGTTTGGGAATCTCAAATGAAATGTACTTTAAATCTGTCTTATAATTGCCAGAGTGGTTGTCTTTGCATAAATGTGATGTGGGACAGGAAGGTACAGGCCTGCTTTGCTTTGCCAGTGGGTTTGCCTCTATGGGAGTAACACCATCAGTCCTCCCAAGGGATTGCATGCACGCATCTATTCAAAGGGCAGGATTATTTCTGTATTAATCAAGAGGAACCTGATTAAATCTGAGGCTTTACAAAGAAGGGGAATTCACCGAATGAAAACATTCAACACAAAATTTGATGATCCTATAACTTTTGGAAACAAAGCCCATTCTGAGCAATCCCATCTGCTCCCCTTGGCTCGTGCTCTTTGAAATGAACCTCTGTTTACACGCTGAAGACACGGGTACATTTGTCTCTGTTGGCGCTATCATTGGAAAGCATTCAAATGGGTTCAAGCACAAAGTTAAACATCAGATCTAAAACCGGGGCTGCGGTTTCGAGCACTTGTTTATGACTTTGCTCTTCGAGAGGAAGTTTTTTTCATTCCTGATCCAACCCCGTTGCGAAAGGACCTTTTATTGAATGGCATCTCCAGGTAAGGCTTTAAAACAGCCACTTCTTCGCTCCTGCCCGCCTTGGCCAAGCAGTTATTCAGCAGGACCAGGCAGTAATCAGATTTCCCATACAGCTGGCAATTCAAATAGAAGGGATTGCTGCTCTGAAGATAAAACAGGAAGAAAGAAAGAGAAAAAGAGAGATAAGGAAAGGTAACATTATGAATCCATGTATTTGCCAGGACTTGGTCGGTAGAAAAAGCAAAGTAGAAACAGAAAACCCCTTTATGCTTTGAATGCCAAAGATGAACTGCTGTTTGCTAAAGATTCCTCATATTCCAAGTCAGATCTTTCCTAGTTTTATAGAAGACTTCACAGTGGTATATCTGGTATAAATTACTCATACTGCCGCCAGTACGTTTAGGGTATGAAATGACTTGTTTTCCATGATGTTGACCAGTTGTGGCATGTCACACTGTTTCCCTAGAGTAGCATGTACGTTTACTGCTGTAAAATGAAACAGCATCTTGTCATCACTTGTGGGGAGTCATGTAGCTGAAATGATGGATAAGAGGAAATGATAATACCTGCAAAGCAGAGCTCTGTGGGAGGAGCTTTCTAGTTATGGTAATATGTTAAACTTAGGTATAACTAAATTCAGTAATGACAAAGTAGTAATGGGAGTTTAAAAAAGTCTAGATTAAAACCCATAAAGGTTTATGTACACGTCCCTTTTACTTGCATTTTACAGTATAAAAAGGTAAACAACATAAAAACCTTCACAAATTTAAATTGCATTGAAATTAACATTGAATTTAAACTCAGACATTCCCTGGCGTGTCTATAGCTGCTGTGTGCATCTTGCAGCACATCGTGATTTACAAGCTTGTAGATGATCTATCTGAAAGAACTCTTACTTACTAAAGCTGTCTAAATGTCTCAAGCATTCTTGCTTGGGAAACAGTTGCGTGCAAAGCCACAGGGTTAACATCTGCCTTCACTGGAATTGATGGCAAAACTGCCATTAGCTTCACTAAGATTAGTTTTAATTCAGTATGCTATTACTTTTATTAATATTGCTTAGTGCTTAATGTTTCTTTTGCCTGTTCTGTGCATATAAAAGGTAGATTAATGATTCCTCTCCAAGCACGAGCATGCACCGGGTCTGGGTTTGTTCCCCAGGCTGAAGGTTCTCCCTAACAAGAAGAAATATTTTATGCAAGGAACACAGGCATAGAGAAATTCCCCTTTGAATTTTTAGCTCCTATCTCACAACCTACACAGGGATTTCACTGCTGAATAAATTGCTGTTATTTTGACATGCAAGATACTCATTGAAATAATTAAACTCATTTTAGCTGTAGTATTAAGAACTGTGGCTACTCAGATTGAGCTACACCTAAACTATCGTGGTCAGAAATGAAAGATGATTCAGCATTTACAGCAGAAAACATACAGATGGACTGGGTGATGGGTAGATTAAGGCTAACAGGAATTTCACATCAATAAAATAAAGAGCTTTAGGAGTAGCCGCTATCTCTGCTAGCGACACATCACCTTAATGAAAAGATAATGATGGAAAACACATCAGAGGAGAAAAAGAAATCTGAACCATGGCTCCTAGAGCTGATTTTACAGCAATAAAGAACCAGCAAATCTAAAGAAGACTTTGTCCAAATCAGGGAAATTGAATATCAGTAGAAATAAAGTGTCTCATTCCACAATGGCAAAGTCTTAAATGCGTGGTTTGACCAGGAATGTGTGGTGGGAAATAAACTGGTCAAGATCAGCAGCTGAAAGGATGTCAGCATTATTTATGTAACCTGCTCACTTCAGTTCTATGGGCTATGCTACATTCATAGTTCAATCATATTTGTATTACTGATCCTATGCAATCATTTTCCATAATTTATATAAGAATTTCTCCTTACTTTCACACTAACAGTGATAGATAAATGTGTCGGTTTATAAACTAGCTAGCAATAGGTGAAATGAATACATATATATTGTTGTACCTATTTGATGTAGACAAGGGATTCAGGTGGAGAGGAGATCGATGTTTTTCTCTTTTCCATACAATATTTCATCTCCCCACACTGCACATTAAATATGCAATAGATTTCTCACATGATTATTTTAGAGGCTTGCATATTTTATTAGTAACTAAAGCAATAACTGAGCTGTACTCCAGGAAAATCAGGTAATGATATTAAAGCAATAGCTTTAATACAAGAAACTTTTCATTTTATGAAACAACTAGGAAACAGGCAAGGAAAAAGCACTAATTTAAATAAAATAGCTATTTAAAAGAAATAAAGCTCATCACGTTCAAGCAAGTAGGGAGCATGACTTACCATGGAAGAGATGACGGGGTAACTCGAGCACACGATCATCATGGAGATCCAAAGAATGAAAACAGAGTTTAACCTGCATAGACTTCAAACGGAGACTGAGATTAGTTAAAACAAAACGAAGCAAAAAGCTCCATGCATACACATAAACCCACAGCTAGCACATTTTCTCCATAGACAAAGTAATCCACAGTGCTTTTACCTGACCATTTTTCACTCAGGACTGTATGTGTATGTACATGCAGTTACACTACCAAATTCCTCATATCCTTTCAGTTCTTTCTTAGATGACTGTTTTATACCAGAGTTCAGGAGTGAAAATGTCATCAAAGCTTATTTTATTATGACTAATTGGTCCTTGTTTGGCCTTTTCTTCTTGTTAAATAGGAAAATGGCAAGAACACACATTCAGCTGCCATTCTGAAACTACCCATTGATTTCATTTAAAGTGTTGCATTAAAATGTCTCTCAAGTGGGTTTGCTGTTAAGTCTGTATCATCATAGCAAATGTGGTCAAAGGTCTAAAGATTTCAAAAACACGCTTCAAGAATGTTTTACCACTTCCAATATAACAGATCAAGACCTTGTAAAGCCTGTCTGCAAGGGAAAAAGAGTAAAACTGCATTTTAGATAGAAACCTCCTCAAAGAATTATACTCAGAGCAGCCACAATACATAGAATCATAGCATCATAGAACAGTTTGGGCTGGAAAGGACCTTAAGCTCATCCAGTTCCAACCCCTTGCCATGAGCAGGGATGCCTCACTCTAGACCATGTCACCTAAGGCTCTGTCCAACCTGGCCTTGAACACTGCCAGGGATGGAGCATTTACCACTCCTTTGGGCAACCTGTTCCAGTGCCTCACCACCCTTACAGTAAAGAACATAAAACATACCAACATAAAACAACACATATGGCTTTTTCTTTTTCTTACCCTTTCTTTTTACATGCTTAGATTTAATGCACCCAAATTTTAAGTGTTTTTCTTGGAACTTAAGTTCTTTGGACAGTAATTTCGTCGCTTGCATGCAGACCTATCTTAGCCTATGTAAAGTTTATTCAATCAAGTCCTCTATAGGATTAATAAATTCTGTTAATTCCCATCAATGTAGCAAATGCTTAGTATCCAAGAGCATCATTTGTTCCTTCAACCAATTTTATTGTGCAACATTTAATTTAGCTGCTTCATATTTCAGAGCATCCTGTGGTTTATTTAAACAGGATCTGTAAAAGCAGTCAAAGTCCCACGAAGCCTGTGAATGTCACACGGCACAGGTGAGGGAATGCTGAAAACCATGGAATTCCTTCTTTTCCCCCTCTTTTTGACAGTCACACAGTGTCAGGCACACATCAGTGACTCAGCAGCCTCAGACGTTGCTTTTCCATCAGTGTTTACCCTGAAAAATCAATGCACAAGCGCTCCAGAAGGGAACTCTGTGTGAGCCTTCCGAGAGACAGGAGCTGTTATAGACTGCAGCAACTTTAACTGGAACATTCAGTCTCTTGATGTAGATCCATTGAATTCCAGGGACTAGAAAGCAGCAAGGCCTTCGGGTAAGGCCAAAAGAAATATAGTGGTACGTATGGATAGGAGCCATTCAAAGTCAGGCTGGATGTGATTCTGGGCAACCTGATCTAGTTGAAGATGTCCCTGCTCATTGCACGGGGGTTGGACAAGATGACCTTTGAAGATCCCTTCCAACCCGAACTATTCTGTGATTCGATTGAAAGCCTTTATCACGTTTTATAGAAGAATTCATAATTTAATCTCAGATTATGGTTGAACAGTTTTTCATCATCACTGTACATGGTGGTGCTGATCATGCCAGGGGCTGATAGATATAGTCCAATGACTTAAATGACTTCTAAAAAGTACATGTTTGTAGTTGCTGGTAAAGTACTTCAGGATTCTTCAGGCCCAACAGAAGTATAGAAATATAAGATGAAATTAACCTCATTTAAACACCACAGTAAGCAATCCATTTATAAGAACTGTCAAGAGAACATTTGACTATTTGCATATTCAGTAGGTGTCCTCTTATTCAGAGAGAAAATCCTTTTGCTTGAATTGAACATCCTGTTCCGACTCGTACAGGACCTCCAACTCCCACCAATAAGCGGATTAGCCCGTGTTTCTGCAGCAGTGAAAAGCAGTTCGGGTTGGATTCTGCTTGAGCACAGTTTAGTGTCAGCTTTCATTGTATCTGCATTTCGCTTCAGTCCATTTTCATACCAAATTAACCTTCACACAACATTATTTGTGGAAGATGAGGGATAAGAGTAGGTTTGTGATTAAAGTTCAGGACTTCAAGGTTCAGTGTTGGAGTTTGTGCCTTAGACTCTATGGGTGACCTTTGGTGCATTATTGACTTAGGCTTTTAAAATCATGGAATCATAGAATCACAGATTGCTTGGGATTGGAAGGAACCTTAAAGCTCACCCAGTTCCAACCCCTGCCATGGGCAGGGACACCTTCCACTAGACCAGATTGAGTCGTTTGTGTCACTGGTGACCTCCCATTATGCCTGGTCAATACCTCCTATTCTTACCTTTATCTTATCTCTTTAAAAGAGTGGATTTGGCCACATTTCTAGCTCACAAGCTCTGGACATGACAGATGTCCAGAGACTCTCTGTAGGCAACTTCAGCATGAGCAGGTGGTGAGAGGACAACCAAGAAGGTCACCAAGCAGCTCCCAAGGACATGGCCATGCTGGCCCAGGCAGGATGAAGCTTTGAGGAGCCTGGAACAAAGCAGCAGGCTACAGAAAGCTCAAACAACATGGGAAGACAGCTCCTGTGTGACTTTGTAAGGAAGGAGAAGAAGATGATCAAATACGCTTGTTCAGGATGTTTCAAACAGTGGGTTGGAAAAGGAAAGAGGCAAATGTAGCAGCAAATCTCTCAGGCACTTTGCAAAACCAATTGCATCTGGTCTGAACACTAAATAAATAACGGTTCACCTGAGGGTTTGCATGGATTTCATTCACACTCATATTATATATATGGATATGTACCACAGTAACATCTTTCTGAGCAAAATTCTTTCACCTAATTTCTGTTTCCAGTTCTGCCAAAACCTCATCTATGACAGAGTGGGTTCATAGAATCATAGAATCACAGAATGGTTTGGGTTGGAAAGGACCGTAAGATGACCTAGTTCCAACCCCCTGCCATGGGCAGGGACATCTCACACTAAACCGTGTTGCTCAAGGCTCTGAGCAGCTTGGCTTTAGGACCCGACTCTAAGAAGAAACAGGCAAGTAATGTCTGGGTTTTTGCTCCCCAAAATTCAAGAGGAGATTCCATCTTTTCAAAGGCTTTGGCCAGCTGAGCAGCCATAAAGTGTTTCCACACAAGAAGGATGCAGATGGCACTTAGACAAGTGTGAGTTATTGAGATATCACCGACCCAGAACTGGGCTCAAGGGGTTTGTCCACCTCTGAGACACACCGAAGCGGTGTTATCTGAACAGAGTGAACATTCAAGCCCACATATTTGACTCTCACTTTTCGGAGTTTATTTTTCTCTAGCTATTCAGGATGCAGTTTAACTCACCACCACTGTGATTTGCATGCATGAAGTGTATATGGAGATTTAGGTACGTTCAAGATATTCCCACTTCAAGTTTGGATGAATCAGGTTTAACAGAACAAGTGGCAATTGACATTTCTGTCTTCGCTTCTGTCTGCAGAGCATCCAGTCTGAGGCTTTGCTCCCAGGTAAAGTTCCTGGCAGGTATCATAGGTCAGACAAATCATCAAGAGCCATAATAAAAAATCCCAGCATCCATAAAATTTGCATTTTATGAGAATAAATTAGCAGGAATATCTTCACTTCCCTGCAAAGCCAATATCATCACCTCTTCCCTCTTGCTTGGTTCATTAAAGGAACAGTGTATTGCACCTCGCTGCTGCTCTGGTTTGGTTTTCCTACAAAAAACATAGGAAACACAACACAAAACTTAATGATAAACCTATAGAGCCTTGATAAGACTTAACAGAGAAACTTAATAAAGTTATTAGGCCTATAAGCTTTAAAACATGCTTCTCACCCCCAACACAGTAGTAAATCTAAAGTGTTTAAACTGTCATTGTGTGCCTTTGCTAAGGGATCAAACCAATAAAAAATGAAAGAAGAGACCCAAACCTGTCTGCATGATCCATTGGTATAATCCCAACCCTTGTAAAACCATAGCAGGTTAGCGGTCTGGAGAAAGGGAAGGTGCTAAATCATGTTCTTCCCTTCTAGGATGCTCACAGTGAAACCTCAGCATGGCTTCTTTTGGAGAAAGGAGCCTGGATATTTTGCTCGGAGCTCAGATTTTCTCTTGCTTTCAAGAACATCGAGGAACAAGAAGCAGGATGGTTTGCTCTGAGATCAGAGCAAGGTGCAAACTGGAAATTAATCATACTCGCAGCAGATAAATCTGTTTCTGACTCAGCGATAATAGAAAATCCCAGCAAGACACAAAGAAAGAAGGAAAACAGAAAGAAAAGGCAAGAATCAAACAGAACGACAAGTCAGGAAGCAGGCTTATCCCTTCGGTCATTATTGTTCTGCTCTCACTGCCAGCAAGGGATGCAACCAGACCACTGTGATCTCATCTACAGAGGCACAAAGGAGCTAAAAAGCTGCTGTAGACACACACTTGACTTGTTCAGGGCATTTCCCTGCCATGATTCTTCCTAATCCCCTTAAACTTGGTTATGATCCACAAAGATCATGTGTCTGGCTGACAGGGAAAGGGGTTTTACGGCCAAATGGTGCAGCTGGGGGGAAGCACAGCTCCCACTTCCCCCCTTGCCCTCACATATATGACTGGGCAGCAACGGAGCATCTCTGATGTCTCCACAAGCCCACCTGCCTGCGGGCTGGAGCCTGTCCCCTGTGTTATTTACTTTGCTCCTGTGCCGCCGAGGTGTTTGCACAGAGGTGCTCTCTGTGGAGGATGCGATAGTCTCCTCAAAGGTCAGGTGCATATTTTCCGAGCCCATGGAGGCCCACGGTGGATAAACAGCTCTGCGTTCCGGTTCCAACCGCACGAGTTCACCAGAAGGAGAGGCTCAGTTATTGAATTTCATTGTG